ACAAAAAGTTTATTAATATATAAAATAAAAATATACATTTTAAATTTTCCCCCCTTACATGTGACTCCTTGATGTGGGCAATATAATCACTTTCTGTTATGTAAATTTCTAATTTACTGGGTTTATTTATTGCTCGCACATTCTATCAAAGATTTTACTTCGCCATAACTCAATAATATTTCAACCTGAGAGATTAATTTTACTTTATTTAACTTCTTTTTCATTCATCCAACTTAGAGAAAGACGGTTCACCTTGGTTAGCGGTTCAGAGTCGGTTCGTTCTCTCAAGTGAATCGGTTCTTTTATACGATTCATCGGTTCTTTATAAATAATTATTCTTTATCTTTTTTAAATTTATTCTCGTACAAAAAATCTTTATATTCGCTTATTTAAGCTTAATATAAATCATGAATGTTTAGGAAATACAAAAAAATTTTTTCTTTATTATATATATATTTTTATTATTATTAATATATTAATTATAATAAATTAACATTATGTTGCACAACTAAATTTGATTAATTTTTTTTGTTGTTAATCGGCTTCTTTTTTCATTACAAAGGACCCCGCACTAAACCACGTGATTTTGGGCCCTGGTGAAAATGGCTGAATTTTTAATATGTTGTACTTTTTGAGTCACTGAACAAATATTTCCTCAGGCAAAATGTCAAAAAATGGACAGTTTCAACGTTTCAACTCTTAGAAGCTTGAGGAGACGAGCAAAGATATCACTTTCGGATCAATGCGGTTACTGTTATAAGGGAACAATATGAATTTTTGGTGAACAAAATAATTAAAAAGTAATTTGTTTATGACAATATTGTTTAAATAATATGATAGTATTGTCTAAACAATTTGAAAACATCATTATTTACATGAACGATTCGGGTTGCTTTCTGTACGTGAGTCCCCTTGCCTCTCACGATTCACAGCTAGCCTGCTCGCCGAGCGATTATATACGATTAGTTTTACTTATAGATCCAACTAATCACATTCAATCGCTCGGCGAGCAGGCTAGCAGCTTCGTCCGGCTTGAACACGACCATTGTTTATACAATACTATCATATTGTTTAAACAATATTATCACAAACAAATTACTTTTTAATTATTTTGTTCACTAAAAATTCATATTGTTCCCTTATAACAGTAACCGCATTGATCCGAAAGTGATATCTTTGCTCGTCTGACCTCAAGCTTCTAAGAGTTGAAACGCTGAAACTGTCCATTTTTTGTAATTTTGCCTGAGGAAATATTTGTTCAGTGACTCAAAAAGTACAACATATTAAAAAATTCAGCCATTTTCACCGGGGCCCAAAATCACGTGGTTTAGTGCGGGGTCCTTTGTCCCGCTTTAGAAAATATTCTTTCACATGGGACCGAAGTAGCAGGGATGCTTTTGAGCATTATTTTATATAAATTTGGGTATAGATTTTTCTTGCTTCCCACCAAATTAGAGGATCGTTTGTCCTGGTAATGTGGAGTTTGGCTAAAAATTTGTCTAACTATAATTGCTGCAGTAGAGGGATTGTGCATTCCTTGAAGGTGGCTTATTGTGATATCAAATTCTTCCCAAACTGAGATTGTCGAAGATGTCGTCAAAGAGGTTGGACTGGTTGGGAATGTTGGGACAAAGACTGTGGAGATCTTGGTTATTGCAAGCTCTAATTTTCGCTATTAGATTCTGATATGTTGCCTGAAACTTGTTTTCATCTCCGAAGCCCCGCTTTTTAAATCTGGGATCTAAGAAAATCGATTGGGCAATTAAATAATTTCCTTCTTTTCCCCCAAATCGGTTTGCCAAACCTTCTATTAATTTCTCCCCTACATTTTATCATTGATGGTAACGTATTATTCTCTAAATATGTTTCACTTTTCTGATCATTACTCTAGAGAGAGTCTTTGATAGAGAAACATTTTTTTCTGGCGATACTTTCATCGTAATTTCGTTAAATGTTCGTAGTATATTTATACAGTGCTTCATTAGGTTTCAGTCCTCTGGTTGCAAAGTATTCTTATACCCTAACAATGCCAAAGCAGAAATAATAGGTTCCTTATTAAAAAAAAACGATCAAACATCAAAAGTAGAGTTCCATCGAGTAGATACATCTTGTTTTAATTTAAATGATCTTTATTTAAATTATTTTGCATCTCATGCAGTTTTGCCAAAGTGAAGCTACTTTGTTTGAAATATTGTACATACTTTTGGTCTTTTCGACTAAATCTTTAATGTTTTTGTTAATAGCATCTTGTGCAACGAGATTGTGAGTGAATGGGCAAAACAAGAAACATGTCTTAATTTTAAAATATTAACAGCAGATTTTATACTAGCTTTGCGCGTTGTCTGTCACTATTGCACAAATTTTAAAATCTATATTGAATTTTTAAGACTGTGTTAATCCATTCAGAAATATTTAAACCAGTATGCCTATCACTAAATTCTGAACATTCTAACAAATATGATTTAAGACATGTATTTGAATCCAAATAATGAGCAGTAAGAGCATAAAAACTGATATTATTAATATTTATCCAACTGTCGCACGTTAAACAGACGGCTTGTGAGTCGGCTAATTGGCTAGTTAATTTATTTAAACTCTCACTATATATGGAAGGCAATAAAGAATTGGACAATGTTTTACGACTAGGTAAACTATAACTAGGGCACAAAAATTTGATAAACTTCCTAAATTCTTCATCTTTTACTATTAAAAATGGATGAAACTCTTTGCATATCATTACTAATAATTGAGTGTCAATAGATTTACTTTTACTTAACGGTATAGGTTTAATAATATCGACAAATCCGTTTATTGAATACTGCGGCTGAACTAAATTTGAGGGTGAAGAAGTAACAGGGTTAATTGAAGATGAAAATTCAAATCTTGATTATGAAGATCCAGGAATTGGAATAGGGGCAATAGGGCATGATCTAGCGCTGCGAGGTCTAGGATTAGATGAATCTGGCTGGGAAATAATCGTTTGTATTTCGGATTTTTACTAGATCCAGTTGAAACCGAAGGAGATCGCGAACGACAATCTGCTGAATCATATGAATCTTCTCGTAAGAATAGTACAGCGGGATGCTTATTTTCAATGCCTCTTGAGATTTCCAGTAGATGATCCTCCAGGCATCGATATCGTCATATAACAATAACGACATCGTCCTTTTCCATCTGTTTAGCAAAATGATACCAAATATTGCTAGTGCCTCGAGGCAAAGACATTTTAATCTAAAAAATTTATTAGAAAATAAAACATCATTGATTAATATTATAATTATCATAAAAACTAATATCTTTTAGAATTTATACTAAATATTTTAGAAAAATATACATAGATATAATGGTGCAAATTATAATTCTAACCTAAAATTGCCAGTTGCATACTTATATTATTTATATATACTTACTTATATACTTGATTTAGATGTAAAAGAACAAACAAACAGTTGTTATTCAGTGGATGAAACTAGTGAGTTGTCGAGTCAAAATCAAAATAAAATGCCAGAAAAGAGAGCGGAAACTGTTCTGAATAGTTCTGAACTGATTTAAGAGAACGATATAAGAAATGGGCGGGAATCATCCCCTCAGTTCAGGATAGGTCCAGCGTATGGACTTATGCATATAAGACGCGTCGACGCGTTACGCACGGCAAGAGGCGACGCGATAGCCAATAAAAAATTGGATCAATTTTGACGCGCGGAAGTTTTTATGAAAATGCGGCAATTTGATTGGCTATCGTGTCGTCTCTCGACACATGTAGTGTCTTTAGGGACACCAGACACCATAGTTATGCGTAACTTCAATGCGTTTCTGTGGACTTAGAGAGAAACCTATAGAATCGAATTACCGAAAATTCCGGTAGAGTGCACTACTACTACTGAACCAAGGAATCGCGATTCTTTTTCTATAGACCCGTTTCCGAGCGCTCATTGATGTGAACCGATTCAACTGAACGGTTCGCGAACCATCTGCTCATCTCTAATCCAACTCACTCATATACATTTATTATAACAATAATGTTTAGACATGCATAAATCGTCGACATCGTATTTATCCGCTTTTTACAATATACTAATATATGTAACACTATCTATATTTAGACATTCGCCTATCGTTTTGAAATATTAATTCAAACTTTCAAATAAAATTTATCTAAATAGAATAATATGTATTTATATCACTAAATTTTGGGCCTATTGTTATGTAAGATTTTATTTATAAGACGCGTTAATTTTATTTTAAATTTAATTCTGAAGCGGTGATTGGCTCTGTCCTCTAGTGAAAAAGTCTCCGCGGAACTACGCGCGAGTGTACACTCTCATCACTGCGTCACTAGTTATATTCTATGTTTTTAGTTTGTTTAATGTGCGTACGCGCCAAAAAGCACGCACTTAGTCTCTCTCCGCCGTTCTGATCTGTATAACAACGTGTTCTAATGAGAAGATTCCTACAGTATGTTATAATTAACCTATCGTTAATTATAACATACAATATTTTAATATAAATAATCTACATTTATAATATCCTATTTAAGTATTCACTTTTCATTAATTGACTAACTATCAAAGATTATCTATTATACATTATAGGATTTTACAATTGGTCTAATACTGGTCAAAAATTGGTTACCAGGTTACTTATATTGGCGCGATAATAGCAACCATAACTGGCCTATCAATGGGAATATTATGGAATGATAACTTCGATTCGATAAAGGATAACTATACGCGGCCAAACATGGTGAACAATGTTGAGCCATTAATGGTTTATCGTAGGGGATTTGTTTTCGTTTTCAACTGTGAAAATGATTCTACTGTATTTAATTGTTCTTCCACGGCATCTTTAAATAATATGACTGATTCTTCATTATAACATGCGTCATCTGTACTTCTCACATTGTCTAAGGGTGCGTTCCGTTTCACGCATAATGCGCATAGACTGCATAAAGAACCGTTCCGTTTCACTCAATGCGCGCATTGATAGCGCACAGAATTCCCTATATCCCCACCACTTCTCGCGCATCAACGTGCATCAGCTACCGCAGCTCGGGCGTGAAGCGTTTGATGCGGAGTTGATGCATCAACAGAAAAGGCGCCTTTTTTATTCAAGTGTGCACAATGGCATTGGTCGAAGTCCCAGTCATTGATGAAAATAATGAAGTTTTTACTCTTATACTGGATCAAGAAACTGCTGCAAAGGCAAATCAAGGTATTAAATTATGTACAATCAGTATATACTTATAAAATATAATTCTATAACCTAAAAGTAATGAAAGTATATAATTTTACAGATCCACAGTTTTTGCAAGATATCTTTATTAAATGGAAAGAAAATAAATGTAATACTGAGGGACTTAATAATGGAAATAAAGATGTATTGTGTGTGCCTGAAATTAACACCACTGAAGAACCTGGTAATTTTTATAATTTAACATTTTGTTAAACAGTAATAAGTAGTTTAATTAATCTTTATTTAAAAGAACACCGTAAAACGTTTCAGCCCTGATTGGGCCCTCTTCAGTTACATTAATTAATATTGTCATGCTTTGTAAATTTTAAATAATTATGTCCTGTACGCCATATGTATATAATTTATCGATCCTTTGTTTGATCATTGTTATTTCAATGCCTTGCTGTTCATCTGACGCTCAGAGACCTTCTGTTTCTGTTGGATGGCATCCAAAGGAGACACGACAGAAACAGAACGTCTCTGAGCGTCAGATAAACAGCAAGGCATTGAAATAACAATGATCAAACAAAGAATCGATAAATTATATACATATGGCGTACAGGACATAATTATTTAAAATTTACAAAGCATGACAATATTAATTAATGTAACTGAAGAGGGCCCAATCAGGGCTGAAACGTTTTACGGTGTTCTTTTAAATAAAGATTAATTAAACACGCTACAATAACAGCGATTGGCTCAAGAGCTCATTTATTTTCCTATAATTTTGTTAAACAGTATAGATTTTGTAATAAAATTTACTTTATGACTTGAATAAAATTTTAGATGAATCCAATTCAAAATCTTTTGTGTGGCCTGACGCTGCAGTACTTTTGCTTGTTGAATTATATAGAGAAAGAGAGCAAGAATTTAATACCGGCATGAAAAGACACAATATCATTTGGGGAGAGATTGCTGCCCAAATAAAAGAAACTGACAAAAAGTATATAGTTACTGGTCTTCAATGCTCAACAAAATTTGCTGGCCTCAAACGGACATATAAAAATATATATGAGCAGAATAAAAAAAGTGGTAACTCCCACAGTAGTTGGGCTTTTTATTCAGTAAGTATATGCATATGTGTTTGCAAGTATAATAATATAATATTGAATGTATAGACTTACAAAACTGATTTTGTATTTGTAGGTAATGGATTCATTACTTGGTGAAAAGGCATATATACAACCTCCAGCTGAAGCGTCCAGCGAAGGTCCATCACAACCGATACTATCTACATCAGGATCTTTATCTCCAGCGAGTTTCTCAGAGGATTTACGAAGTAATAACATAATTAATAAACCATAGTTGCTTTGGCGACAGAACCAAAATGATTCACAATCAGATTAAAATAATCCGTGCGTGTCAATCCGTGATTGAAATCTGAAATTTCATTGATTGTTATAATGAAATTTCAGATTTGACCAATCACAGTACATGGATTATTTTAATCTAGATCATTTTGATTCTGTCGCCAAAGCAGCCCACGACTGAAGGCATTTTCAGTGTTATGCATGGTCTACAATAACAGCAAGAGTACAGAGTACAAGAATAAGCAGTAAGAAGTACGAAATGGGATTTGTTCATTTCGTTACTCCCGACGAAATGAGCGAATCCCACTTCGTACTGCTTACTGCTTTACTCTTGTACTCGTACTCTTACTACCATTGTAGACCCCGCATTATACATAATCTTGTAAACATTTGTATTAATATTGCAGGTGCGCCTAAAAAAAGACGAGTTGAGAATATTCTAAAAATTATATTGATAATATAAAGCAAGAAAGGGAGACTACAAAAAAAGAGCGAGATGAAGAAAGAAAGAAAAAAGAAGAAATTAGAGAAGCAAAATATGAAGAAAAGAAGAGAGAGCGTGAAAAAATGCATCAAGATAACATGGAGGTACAGAAATCACTACTTGCCGTCCTGCAGAATTTTGCAAATAAAAAGTAAGTTAATCGAAACGATTAACGTTAGTGCAATACACTGTGATATTAAGGGTGCAATTTAATCAGCAGAATGATTAAATTTTTTTCCATTATATATAAGAAATACGCAAACCAACCTGGGCGAGGCTGGATTAAGATGCGCGAAAAATGTGCCTGATAGAGTCATATTTAAATGCACAGGGTATTACTTATTAATTCTCGCCCACTAAATAGATAGCGTTATTTCTTATCAAAAATAAGTTGAAAAGTCCTGAATAATTTTAAATAAAATAATAATTTGAATAATTTTTAATAATTTTATAAACCCGGCGCTGTTTGATCGTACTTTACTCAATAATTACTAGTTCATTAAGTGTAAAAATTCTTTAGGACTTTTCAACTTATTTTTGGTAAGGAATAACGCTATGTACTTAGTGGACGAGAATTGTACGCTTTTGAGAAGACTGAAATAAAAAGTTATTAAATTCGTTATATTACCACGGTGATTTTTTAGTTATAAGCTTATTAGTTTAATAGTTTATAGTTTATTAGTTTAATTATTGGGTCTGTTTTTTGTTCCTGAACTGCTGCACTAGTTCAGAGGTTGTCTTTTGCTCGACACTGATAAGAAAAGGACAACCTCTAAACTAGTGCAGCAGTTCAGGAACAAAAAACAGACCCATTACCTCGTATGTCCACCGAAAGAACCAAAGATAAGATCTCTCCCATGCACGCGCGCGCGTGCACAGAGAGGGAGAGAGAGCATACTACAGTTTTTATGTGTTAAATTGTACGAAATATGTTATTATTTTAACGGGTGCATCCCGATTTCAGATGTACAATTCTAAAAAAGAATAAAAAGTATTTTTATACTTATATATTTTTCTCCCGACTGCTGCCAACCGTAGGTTGGCGAAAAGAGAGGAAGTATGCGTTTCATCGAGCCCGGATCGGTCGTGACCTTAATTCTCGATAACTACTGCATAGTTTTATATCAACTTTGGAACATAAGTTTCTTATTAATCAAGGAAGGTTTAAAGCGTATTATTATCGTTATTTATTCTATTAATAAAAAGTGAAAAATGAGTATTATTTCGTCAATACGGTCTCTCATTGGCTGCTGTGTGAACCTAAGAGGAAAAATGATTCACCAATGAGATTCGTTGTAGTATCCGGATAGGGAATGTTGGTGACATTGGTATATACATCTCGAAGTAATAATGACGGGACTGATAGGATAGGTTAGCTGTCACCTGTTGCGTGTTATTGTCAACAACAATATTAAGTGAAGTGTATTATTATGGATATATCTCAAGAAGATATAAATAAAGGAGTAAGTTTCTTCTTTTATATTTATTGTTTTTTTCTTTATTTAGAATATTGTTATTATTATTTATTTATTGTTTCTTTATTTATATGTAGGAAGAAGATACTCGCTTGAAGATATCTGAAGAAGAAAACATTATTAATAATAGAAAACGAGTAAGTCTTGTTATTAATAATTAATAAAAATATATAATATAATTAATAATATAATTAATCTGTTGTAGTCATAACATGGCTATATGAATTTATATTTGTCTGCGTAGCCACTTATTTGCTATTAAATTTGCTACGTAGCCACATTGCTATAAATATCCACATATATAATTGTATAAATGTATATAGTTATTTTTCTCTTATTGTATATTATATAATAATTATATAATTAATTAAAAATATGTATACAAATATATTTATAGTTATACAAAGATATTAGCGCACCAATAATTATGGCAATGCAGACAAATATATTAACTTACATAGCCAATTATCTACTACAAAAGATTATTCACATATGTAATAATAATTAAGGCTATACAAATATATAAACTTACTTGTGATTACATAATGTATAAACTTATATAGCCATAAGAAAGTTAATATATTTGTCAAAGCCATAATTATAACTGCGTACAAGTTTACGTATTTGATATAAGATATTGTTGTCATCTGTCTTTGTCATCTGTCTCTCTCTATCTATCAATCTATCTATCTAGCTATTTTTTTTATTTATCTCTCTATTTATATTATATTATATTAATTAAAAAAATTGTAGCAGAAAAATATTTGGAAAGAATATAGAACATTGCAGTCACATGGTGAGTGTATGTGTGTCTTTATTTATTATTATTATATTATATACATTGTAATATATATATTACATAATAAAAACTTTTACATGTGTAGGATGAAGAAGCAGAGAGACAAAAGAATGAAGAAACAGCATAAGAACAGCAATAAATTAGAAAATAAATAAAAAAAAAATAATAAAAAATTAGAAAATAAAAAATAAAAAATAAAAAAAATTAAAAAAAAAAAATAAAAAATAAAAAACAATTAGAAAATAAATAATAAAAATAAATTAGAAAAAAAAATTAGAAAATAAAAAATAAATTAGAAAATAAAAAAATTAGAAAATAATAATAAAATTTTTTAAAAAAAAAAACTCCCGACTGCTGCCAACAAAGTTTTAATGTTTAAATTAAAAAATAATGTTTAAATTAGAAAATAAATAAAAAAAAATAATAAAAAAATTAGAAAATAAAAAATAAAAAATAAAAAACAATAGAAATAAATAAAAATAAAAAACAAAACAAAAATTAAAAATAATAAAAGAACAAAAAAATTATAAGTATAAAAAATAAGCTTGTAAAAGTTGGAAATAATCACACATAAATAAAGTCTGTTGTTTATTATATAATTTTTCTTATTTAAATTTATTGTTATCATACATATTTAGCGCTATATAATTTACAAAAATTTCAGATTTTTGAATTCAAAAAATTTTTTAATTATAATTATTATTATTAATTCTACAATTTACAAGAGCAGTCGGGAGACGCCGCGCTAAATTTGAGACATATACGCACGCGCACGTTTTATGTAATAAATAGACACAAACACAAATATCGATACTCAACGGACGTTACAGTTTTTAGACGCGCGGCGTCTCCCGACTGCTCTTGTAAATTGTAGAATTAATAATAATAATTATAATTAAAAAAATTTTTGAATTCAAAAATCTGAAATTTTTGTAAATTATATAGCGCTAAATATGTATGATAACAATAAATTTAAATAAGAAAAATTATATAATAAACAACAGACTTTATTTATGTGTGATTATTTCCAACTTTTACAAGCTTATTTTTTATACTTATAATTTTTTTGTTCTTTTATTATTTTTAATTTTTGTTTGTTTTTTATTTTTTATTTATTTCTAATGTTTTTTATTTTTTATTTTTATTTTCTAATTTTTTATTATTTTTTTTTTTATTTATTTTAATTTAAACATTATTTTTTAATTTAAACATTAAAACTTTGTTGGCAGCAGTCGGGAGTTTTTTTTTTGTAAAAAAATGTTATTATTATTTTCTAATTTTTTATTTTCTAATTTATTTTATCTAATTTTTTTTTTCTAATTTATTTTTATTATTTATTTTCTAATGTTTTATTTTTTATTTTTTTTTTAATTGTTTTTTATTTTTATTTTTATTTTCTAATTTCTTTATTATTTTTTATAATAATTATAATCTTCATTCGTAGCGCATTAAATGTTAATCGTTTCTGTTTTCCTAATTCTGCATCGGGGTGTGTATTAAGGTGTCTTCATCAAGATTTAATTGTATACCCAGGGCATTCATCATTTTGTAAAATGCAAATATGGTAACACACAGCATGCTAGGATAAATTCTGGAACTTTTTTTATGTCTGTTAATGCAAACAGTCTAAAAGTATCCTAAAACGCATTTTTAGGGACCCTATAGCACGTCAATTGCCATTCTCGTGGACGACAAACAATAATAAAAGTTTTTTGCCGATCTGTCAAATACCATTATTTCGAAAGGCACCATTATGTGAGGTTGAATGGGGTATGCAGCATCTCCGATGATATGTGAATCATTGGGAAATATTCTTCGGGCAATCGAACAAACCGGGCTACTGGCGAGTTTCGAAAAACTCGAGAGTCGTGGACTGATCCAACTTGTCCAGCATATACATGTGTAAAACGACCCAGAGAATCACATATTACTTGCACGTTAATGGAATGGAAACCTTTTCGATTAATATACGATTGAGCATCTTTAGGAGGAGCTCGGATTTTAATATGAGTCCCATCAATCGCTCCGATAACATTTGGGAAGCCGCATGATCGTTTAAATCGTTCCATTACACTAACGGCAATCTCATCTCTCGGCCATTTAATAAATTGAGGTGCAACACAATGGAGAGCATATGTTACACGCCTCAATGCTCGAAAAGCTTTGCCTACTCCAAATTTTGTCGCTACAGATCTAAAATAATGATGTATCATATAGATTAAGGTTGCGTTCCAAAAAATACTGTACATTGCTAGTCATTAATTCGTTCTTTGAGGTAAGGGGAGTGCACTAGTTCTTAAAAAGAGACAAAGATATATTTTAACCAGAAGTTTAATTTAATCGACGTGGTAGAAACGGGCCTAAGAGCTAATTTCACCAACCTCGGTTAACTTTAACCTCCGGTTAAATTATATCTTTGTCTCTTTTAAAGAACGTATCTGAAAAAGACAAAAAATTGGTGAAATTGTTTTAAATTAAACTTTCTAGGTACCCCCCCTTACCCTGGGAACGAATCATGACCTCCATTGTACATACCTGTAAGAATCAGGAGTAGCCATAAACCAAATAGCAATAAATAATTGTTTTCTTTCTGGTATTGGCTTTCTGCCAGAGAGTGTATTATTAATTGCTCGTAATGCCTGGACCAATTATTGTCAGTACCATTTCAAAAGTTTCAGGAAAGATTCTAAAAAAGAACGGTGAAAATAATAAAAGGTACTTCCCAAAATTCTTTTATATATAATCATATATAAAACAATATAATTACATAGAAATATAGAAAATTATATATAAGCTATTTATAATTTTTTATATTATTTTTTTTATAAATTTTT